AATGTTTAGGCAGTGGTTTCTCCCCTAACACATTCACACAGGATAAAATTATCTTACAAAACATGTTGCAAGATATCAGGTTGCTAAGGCGTGTCTCTTGAGTTTTCTTTTATGTTGCAGCCTACAGTTGCTCATTTATAACTGTAAATTGCTTTACTAATAGAGACAAAAGAATACGTAGTCCTTGATAACAAATCATGTATTCATCACTTGGATTATTCCATTATTTTCCAATATATCAAAGGAAAAGAGAGGAAAAACCAGGTTTTTACCCCCTCAACTCTCCCTTTCCTGAGATGTCTGTGTAATTATTAACCAAAATCTTGTTTTTCATTGAAATAGAGTCTTTAGTCTAAGGTGTGGTGAACGTGTGATTTAGAGACTCCATGATTCTGAAATAGGTGGGCTGTACTACATTTATTTCTGCTCACAAGTCCAAGGAGGACCAAGCCCAGAGAGGCCTCTTTAGTTTCTTTCTAATGAGCATACTCATCCTGGTGACAATAAACCCAGGTAAATAAAATTGGGAACTGGTGCTGTTTCCTATTATCTCAAACTCTATGAAGATTTTTCTTTTATTTTGTGAATAGTTTGTTGCCTACCTGAGCATTTAATACAAGTAGGTTACAATTTACTCTTTTTTTAAAAAAATAATTTATTGGTTAATGTTATAATTGTCAGAGGAGATTTCCTCTCCCTTCTTCCCTCCTTCAATAGCAACTGAGAGTTAAATTTGGAAGGCACTCACAGGCACATAATCAGAGTTCAGCATTTCTGGTGCTTTGGGACTGTAAACCTATTTCAAGTTAGAGTAATAAAGGTTATTAAAGAGAAGACACATTTCATATCAGGAGAGATCATATATGCTGTTATACTGCTTAATTTCTTTCCATTTTTAAAACATCCCATTAGTGTGTGCAAACTCATTAAATACAGCAAATCCTGGAGTGTAATTTAGACAACAGGAACATTCTAAGTACTCAGGACTTTCACCTAAATTTTTATTTAATAAAAGTGGAGTTTGATGAGGATCTTGTGAGCTCAGTTTGTGTACACAAAGACTCTTCATACTGTTCAAAAGTAGATTTGACACAAAATTTGAATTTGCTTTAGCCAAGGAACATTTCCACCATTTTTCTTCAGCAGGCTGTGCAATAATTTTTTCCCACATCCTGACAGCATCAACACCTGGTGGGTGAACCCTGCAGTTTTTCCATCATTGGATTTTCAAAAGAATGTGTGTGCAGAGATAGGAAAGTCACTTTAGGCGGTGGTGCAGAAGGTGGAGACTCAAATGGGACTGAGAAAGAAAGGGGGAACTGTAGGAAGTGTACAGCAAAGTAGTTAATTTCCTTATATTTGTTAAATGCAGGGGTTCCCACACATTAATTTTGGCCAGACCTGTGTTACATTTTTAAGAACCCTTGAGGATCAGCTGATACCAGGCTGAGATAACTTATTGAGAGCCACTTTGCCTTTTCTTTAATAAAATAAATAAGATTTTTTTTTTCCCCCAAAATGCTGTGTCTCAGCAAATTTAACACCCTTAGGAAAAATAGGAATTCTAACATATCTTAAAAACCCCTGCCATGGTTATTCAATGGCAAGTTGTTTAGATTTAAACACTGTTCCCAAGGGACAGGAAGAAACTGCTGATAAGAAACAATGTAGTGCAATGGTAAAGATCTTATGATTGTGAGCTTTTCAGTGATCATTCTAATAATTCATGTACTTTCACAACAGAACAAAATATCTTGTACTTATAAATGAAGGGTGGATATTACTACATAAACTCCATACAATGCCTTTCAAGCTTTTTGTTTAGATGCTGTGTAAATACACAGCCCAAAACTCTCTGTCACTGAGATGAGTGGTAGAACTTCAAAGGGACAAAGAACATACCCACTTTATCTGATCTATCAAAGATACAATTGGACAATGAATACAGGAACATTTTTATTTTTTCAGATGTAAACCTAAGGACAAGAAAAGAATGTATTTTATTGCTCTATTTTCCCTTTGGGACACACCTAGGAAATATTATAGTGTATTTATTTTTTTTAAAGTGAAGATGGATTTTGTCTGCAACCAAATCCCATTCAGAAGATGCAGGCATATTTCTTTCCAGCTAGACAAATAAATTATATTTCTGCTGAAAAAGCTAATATTATATAGCCTGAAACTCATAACTGCTGATAGCCTTGTCTTAATCTTAGAGTCACCAAAGAGGTTGACATAATACAATTATTAGGAATCTTGCTTTTTGATGGAAACCACCTTTAGAAGTTCATATAAATAGAAAATAAAAAAAATCTGATAGTAATTGCAATACATTCTTAATGTGGAAAACTGACCAAATATTTGAAATTTCTTTGTTTCCTGGAAAATGTAGAGAGGGTTTGAATGCCATTTGAAGTAAAAAAAATAAAATTAGTTGTTCAGCTTAAGGCAATGTTTTATGTTATGCATTACAGAAAAATATATCCCCCAAGATTTTTGTAAACAGTATAAATTTTTTTTATAATTCCTTGTTCAAAGTTGCTTTGGCTTTACTCACAGCAATATGTTATGCCCTGATTACTTGGCTCCAGCCAAGTAATGGTGTAAAGGTTTTGCCAACAGAGGCTCTGATTAGGTATTAGAAAAACATTTTCAGGGGAAGAGTGGTCAGGATTTGGAATAAGTTACTTGGGGTGGTAATGGAGTCCCTGTCCATGGGAGTGTTCAGGAACCATCTGGATGGAGCACTGGGATGGGGCTCAGGGGTGACTCTTGTGGGCTGGGTTAGGCTGATGGTTGGGACTGGGTGATAGCAAAGGAATCTTCCAAACTTTGATGATTCTTGTGTGGGATCTGTGTTGTGTGAAGGAAAAATGCAGTCCTTAATATGGAGTGATCAGATACTCTCTTGACATCCTTAAGTTTGTAAATGATGATTTGGCTGAATTAAAAACCTACTCTGGGTACCTGAGACTCTGAGGATGGAAAAGGCAGGTAGAAAGACTTGCTTTGTAACTTACTCTGTACAGCTACTGTTAGACCACAAAGAGTTTTTGCTGAGACAATAAACTGCAAAAGACCCTCAAATTGTTAATGGGAATCTTGGAATTGGAGTTCTTACAGATTGCATTGGTTCTCTTAGACTTTTATTTCATTATTGCGCTCTGAAGCTTACTAGGGAATTAGATAATATGTGCATTTTATTTATTATACTCCTTGTAATGCAATTATGTCTTTATGATTCAGTTTGCAAATATAACAGGGTGGGGTTTATAGGAAATTTCAGTTCAGCTTCCCATCTAAGTGTGTGGGAGGAATATGAGAGTATTATTTCAATTTTATATGTATTCTTATTCAGTACCTTTCCCATCATATTGATTTTGTACATTAAATTGTGCCTTAACTTGGTGCAAATGGTCCTGGCACTTAAAAGAGTCTCTGATTGTGAAGTTTTTAAGCTCTTTTCTTTAAATATACCTTTGCCAAGAACCTTTACTAAGCTTTTCAGCTTTAACTTTCTCTTCACCAGTATCACATACTTTTCTAGAAGTATTTATTCTCTAGCATAATTGATGATAAATGCAGTAAAATACTTGGTGTTTTTTTTCTTTTAATAGTCGATAAAGATATATTCTATTTAAAGGACACATACTTAGAGTATGTCTTTCAAATAAAAGCATTTTTATGAAACTTAATTTTAGACCAGTTGTTTAACGTCTATCTAATACTGGGAGCTCTTGTACCTATCAAAGACCAGAGAATAAGAATAATTATGCTTTTAAAAGAATTGATTTCTCATCTCAGGCCTTCAAATTTACCCATTATCTATTCTCCACTGTAGGCCTGTGCAAAATAAGATGACAAATCAGTGTGTGTCGTGCATATCCAAAGTAACATAGGGTGGAACAAATGTGAAGTTCGTTCTAGTGTATCTCACTCTAGTGCCAAATTTCAGCTGATAGTTATTTTTCAGATTTTGTTATTTTTATTGGAATCTACAGTGTTAGCAAGTGGCAGGCCAATCAGAACACACTGGGGGTATCTGGGTATATTTCTAAGAAAAACATTTTTGTCTTCAGCACCTTTACTTGCACTGAAAAACATGAGAATGCACAAATCTGGAGTTTCAGACCTTGGGGTGCTTGCAGAGTTGTAAGTCATGGCTTGTATTGTTTTCATCAGTGAACCAGAAAACCTGAACACACATATCATTTGCACATGTCAAGACAATGTCGAGGCATAGTTCCATTTACTAAAAGAAAATAATAAAACACTTTATTAAATTCAATTCAGCCAACAATTTTTAATGAATTGTACTATTTTTATACATTTTTAATGTATAAAATACTAGCTATTAAAAAAAAAAGGTTTCTGTGACTTGAAATAATTTTCTGTTCTGCAAATTAAGTATGTTTTTCATTACTCTCTCTGTTATACTGCCTTCCAATTCCACTGTCCTTTTCATCTACTATTCATAACTCTTGTTTGAAGGAACTCTGCTTGCTTTAAAGACAATTGCAATTGTCTGGTATTACTTCTGACTTTTAAACAAAGCCAAGCAGTAGCCTTTCTCCTTCCAAAACACCATTGTATTTATTGTATGACAAATTATATGTATTAACAAAACTTCAGGACTAATCTGGAGCTCTATTCCACAGGATTATGGGGATGCATATGCACGTCAAAGTTAATCTCACTGGAAATAAAACAAGCAGAAGTCTTCATGTTATATTAGCCTTTTAGCTCAAAGTGAAAAAATTATGATGATATTTCTGAGAAGATAAAAAGATTGAGACTTACTTTCAGTACCAGCTTACATTTGTAAGGACTAAAGTGATCATGGCACTAGTTCTGCCTGAGAATTAAGTTCTCAAAGTAGACTCTAGCCATAAGGATAACTTACCACAAAATAAAATCATCTTGAAGACATGACAGAATGAAAGCCAAATGTCAGAAGTTAGAGAACAAATATTTAATTTCTGCTTCTTAATTTTCATTAGCTGAACACTGCATTGGAAGTGAAGAGGCAGCTGCTCTGAACTGTGGATGTTCTGGAACAAGATACAGAAACCTGTCACTTGCGTCAATGTACAAACCCCTCTGGTTTCAGCAACAAAAGTGAGTATTTCCTACATCAGCTTGAAATTTGAATGATTGGACTCTGTACAGTTCTTGCACAAGGTTTACAGAGCTGTTTTTAAATAGCATAGGAACTGTCATGTTCTTGCTGTTATTTAGTTTGTTCTGGCTGTATAAAACATCATTATCAGTGCTTCATCCAAAACCAGAACCTAATTTTTCCTCCCTGACAGTATTTCTGATTCTAAATAGCTAATTACTTATTCAGACTACAGAGGCTTCCATTAAGGTGTTACAATTGTTATTGAATGTAATTGAAGGGTTATTCAATGTAATTGAAGAGCTCCACTTCTCAGGCATTTTGACAAATGCCTCCAATGTATGTGACTAACACTTGGATGAGAAGCAGTGGAAATCTTTGATTTTGGGACAGATTCCTTCTTGATACGAAAAGGATCTGCAGCATTCACTGATGATCTCACAACTGACACATGCCCCATCCTTTTGTTCATGTTCTCTTGTTTTACTTCATCAGTTATGTCACTCTTCAGCGCTTTTCCTATTGCATTCTCTTCACTTTTCTTATCTCTTTCCACATTTGTTTCCTTGTGGCATTGCCTCATTCAGTACATTACATTCTCTAAGCTTCTTGACAGCTTCTAGATTAATTTCTTTTCTTTTCCTTCTACGAAAAGGTTTTGTTTAGCCTTTGATTTATTTTCCTCTTGTGCCAGTTACTTTCCTGCAATTTCAGTTATACAGTCCTCTTGCAGTGGCATTAACAATTCCCTGCCCTAATTGGTTTGCACACAATTAGGATTTTTTAGTCACTTTCTGGGATTTTGTATTCCTGTTTCTAGTGTTGCTTATTAAATCTGGACTTAAATTCATGTTAGCCTTAAATGCAATTGGTTCAGGGCAAGCATGAGTTTTATGTATGCTAAAATTTTAAATATACCAAGGGAATCAATCTAATCAAAACTTATTTTTCAAATTATTTCTTCAGCATGCTACTCTAGGCTCTCTATCTCTCTTCACCAACACACACCCATATATTTATATATAAATATAAAAAGCACCCATTGCTTTTTATAATTTCTGTACTTCATAGAAAAAAAGAGGATCGTTTCCCATGCCACTTGTACTTTTAGCATAAATTATTGTTACAGGATAGTTTTTGAGACTGGCCAAAGTAGGTACAGATCTTGTGCCAAAAACAGGGAAGAAATATTTCCTCCATGAAATTCTTTTGATTGCTAGAGAATTACTTTGAACTCTTGGATCTTAAAAATCTTTATTTCCACTGTTCTAAGTTATATATTAGTGCTGTAATTTTTCTAGGCTTATTAGAAGTTCTATTTCAATGTTTAAGGCATTTGTCATTTTAAAGATTAGGAAAAAAGCATATCCAACCAAATATGTGAAAATATAGAAATATTTGTCCTTTTTTTTTTCTATTGTGAAAATCCTACTATTTGAGTAAAATTGTCTGAAATTAATGAATTTATTCAAAGTCAATACAACTTTCAGAGGATGCAGATTTAGTTTGACTTGTGACCCGAATAAAGGGAAACCTTTTTCCTTCAGAACTTATTACAGTAGTTTACTGTCAGTGAAGTAAATACTTTACATTTTCTACAGCCTTAAAAATAACATCACGATTAATATTAAGATAGTGTACTTTTCCTATAAAATATCATTTATAGAGAAAGTGACACCTTTAGGAAGGCTTAGTAAATTAATTAGAATTTATAATCTAAGTTTAAATTCAAATAATATTGTCAACTTTCTTATGATGAGTACAAATTTATATTTTAAATAGGAATTACAGAGAGAAGTTAATTTTCAGAAGTGAATGATTCTGCACAATAAACCAATCCATATATATTGCCTGAAACTTCCTGAGTAGAACACACCAAGTTTTATGAATATCTTTTGTTTCTTTAATTTTTAAAATATTGTGGAATTTTTTTAATCTTTATTTATTTTTATCTAATTGTAGGGCAGGTGTCAATGCAATGCAGAAGCTGAGGAAAGAGGTAAATATTCTTTTTAGTTGTAGACATGGATTTTAATCTATGGAAGGAACAGTTCCACCTTTTCATGCTCTGTTTCCTCACTCTGGAGATGTACTAGACCAGACCAGTCATGGCTAAAAATGGCACTAAATTTGGAATCTCTGCTAGAGTTCACCCTAGTTATTCTGAGGTACAACTGTTTATTAGAAAATGTGCTGCTCTGAAATTCTTCATTGCATTAGGTAGAACAAATTATTTTTCCCCAGAATTAGGTTTTTCTTCCGTAGTGTTTATTGCGTTCTGGTTTTGTGGTTTTTGGTTTGTATTCTAAGTTTTGGAAGAGGAACTAATGATTTTATTACTACAGAAAACAAATTTCAGCAATTTTAATGCAACCATCGTTTTTGGATTTGTGTCTGATTTTAGTTTTTGTCATTTTTCCCTTTCTCATTGAATTTTCACAGTGTGGGACACACACCATACAGTAAGCTATAACTGCAAATCCCAGGGAAAGGCAGGGCTAATAAGGAATAAACACAGCATCCTGATAGGAAACAGTGCTTCATAGACAGAAACCTCCTTCTAGATTGATACTGGACAAAGAAAATTTGTAGTGCTTAAATTTAAAACCAGTTTCTAGCAGGCCAGTTGTCTTCTTCCTGCACTGGGCTGTATCTTGTCATTTTATGTGCTAATCTCATCTCAGTTTCCATTTGGTGTTTTATGCATGGCAGTGAAGTCACATTGGCAGTACTTTAACTGGCACAAGAAGGCAAAAGTCAAATCTTCCCTGTTCCAAGCTGTAGTCCCTAAAGACAGGAACTTTGTGTCCTGTGAGGCAGGAGCCGTGTTCAGTCACAGAGGTGCAGGTAAGAAATCTGCTGGCTCAGTAGGACAGCAGAGCAAGCAGTAAAATATATGGTAAAGTCAGCCCAACTGCAACCTTAGAGTCCCTGTCGTTAAGGTGGACTGACCCTATTTTCTTCAGCAAAAGTAAAACTGCTGCCTGTGTGCTTGTGCTGTCTGAGAAACTGAGTGAGTATTTCAATGCAGAGACAAACACGCCTCTTTGGTGCCTGGAAGCCACAATCTGTGTGAGTGGCTTTGTGCTGAAGCCTTGCAGGGCTAATCCTTAATGGGAATATCTGGCCCAGAATACAAATTAGGTGCTGCTCCACTGCTTTGGCTTCGGTTGTGAGCAGTGTGTCAGCTGCAAAAAGAACTGATTTATACACCTCTACCAATGCCCTGAACAAGGCATAATGAAATATGTTAATTGGAGCTCCCACTTAATTTAATGAGATTTCCCAGAGGGAGTGTTAGCCCATGAAGGCACCACTATTTTTTGTGTGCTCAGTCTGATGTTTCTTAAGGCTACTACAGGATCCATAATGGAGATACATTAGCAGCTAGCAGAATTAGGATTCCCATGTATCCTGAGGGGTCTTCAATTCTCTACAGGTTCTCAGTGTAGGCAGGAAGGCCTTAGCAGGGTTCACATGAAGCAAAAGTAGACATGCTCTGAAGAAAACCAGATGATGAAGACAATTCTGAGAATGTGTTCTAGAGTGAATACAACTTTGTGTTTGTTTGTAATATGAGTAACCATGAAGGGATAAAAAAAAGGGCCTGAATGAGAGCTATTGTTAGCAAAAGAAAAACTCACTGTAGAATAGGAAAAAACAACTAAAGAACCAAAACAAATGAAGAAACAAAGAGTAAGCAGGTGCAGAAAAAGAAAAATAAAAAAGAAGTAGTTTATTTAAACATTTTAAATTTTGAAAGTAAATGTTTCCTCATTGTTCTGAAGAACCGGAACATAATTACACTGATTTACTGTACTCTATGGTGCTTTTGACTGCTAAGTTGCAACAGAAACTGAGTAATTTTGCCGATGAGAGGGTAATTTTCCTCTAATTTTGAATTTTCTCATTTTTCTTTACCTGTTTTTTAATGGGCATTTACTTTTTTCTCACTTAGGCAGCTTTAGGGACTTTAAGTTTTAGCCTTAAAAATTAATACTGCAATGAATTCCATTGTCATTAGTAAAACAAGGAATCATTTAGAAAACCCAAACAAAATCCAAGGCACAGGGGAGTTAGACATATATAGTAAGAATGGGCTTCTGTCATGGTGAACTTATACTTGGAAGGGACCAAATAATAAGAGAAATGTTATTATCTCATTTAAGAATGTGGGATGAAGAACAGAGCAATGATGTGACTTGACTAATGGTGTAGATCTGAGCTGGGAACAGAATCCAGACTGCCTGACTCCCCAGGCAGAGCATTAAACAGATTGCCTTTCTCTCCTCCTTGAGAAATCAGTGAGGGCTACCTGTTTAACAGCCTGGATTTGATTAAATACACACTGTATATTTGATTAAATGAATTGACTTTTATCACAATGATGGTATTTTCTAAAAAAATCTATAGTGAAACTCACTAGTTATAAATTATTTCTAGTTTCAGTGTGTCACTACTGTAACAATGCTTCTTTCTAATCAAAGTGACTGTATCATGTCAGAAGACACTGGTGTTTATCTTTCAGGGAATAAGCACCAGAAAATGCTGCACAGGATTTCTGTTCTTTCTAAGCAGCCCTTGTTAACATTTAACCCTGAAACACGTGGTCCAAGTCTGAAGGAGCAAAAATAAATCTGTTGCCTCAAAAAATGGTTTTAAATATATACATAAAAGTCTATTTTTGGGGGGCTTAGTACTATCTAGTGTGTACTGCAGAAAACAACTTTGAAATCAACCACGGTGATGTAGCAGCACATGTCCTAAAGAAATGTTCTTACAGTTTACCTCTATGAAATATATTCTTCATTTGTTAATTAGAATCCCAGCCCTGCTGGAGGCTGAACTGGGTAGACTTCAGTCTGAGAGGAACACAACTTGGTAAAAGCAAATTGCTTAAACTAATCAATGTTTAGAACAAACTACAACTCTCAAAAGAAAAGAAATGTTGCTTAACTCTATAGAAGGTGCATAGAAAAGTGGATGGTTGGATCTGTAAGAAATGGGGATTAAAGTGGAACTTTCTGTACTTGGTAACTGTGACAAAAGCTGGAGCTTGCACATTATGTATTCCCAAACATGTCTCTAAGCTATCTTTAATGAATGCTCTTCTCATTAATTTAAATGCTGCTAACATGAAGCTAGCAATAAGATAATTGAAGAAGTTCTTAATTTAGAAACAGGCTCTCTGGTTATTCCACATGAAGTAGCAGAGCTATAAATCATTAAATTCACGACAGAGATATGAGTTTTCAGATATACATTTAACAGCACTGGGGAGGAGGGGTAGGGGAAGAAAAGAGAAGTACTCACTCCTCTTTCAAGGAGGAAAGTGACCATGGGTTTGAAGGACTATAAATTTATTTTTCTAAGGCCTACTGTCTTCTAACAGAGACTTCATATTCATGGTAATGAAAACTTTTGGGGCAGGAGCAGTCCTTTTGTTTTGTCCTTGAGGGTAACAAAGTTCTGGAGCAATAAATTAGGGGACCACAGGAATTCACTAGGAAGAACACTGGGGAGACACTAAAATGAATGCAGGTAATACATCATTTCAAAGTCATTAAAGCAAAGGAGAAAAATGCCTTCCTTCTTCTGCTGGTGAATTCAGGAACTTTCTATATTTGTTGCTAGGACACCTGCCATCCAAAACTTAGCTTTGTGCAGAGGGTTGCCTCTCTTCTCATTTATTTGGATAGTTTTCCTTGGATTCAATCCTGAGTTTGCTGTCAGTTAACTCTAATTTCCATTTTAGCAGATATGTGAGAGTGACCCAGCATTGTAAAGCAGCTCATGTTCAAATATTTTACTGTAAAAATTTTTAGGGACGTTCAGAGGCTTCAATATAAAACCATAAAACCTGCTTCCTTACTGGAGTTTGCTCCACAGCATTATGAACTGGAGATTATAACTTCTACCTCTATGGTGGCTGAATTTAGCTGGCATTGCTTTTGTGGCATTTTATGTCAATCTTGTAGAGAAATGATTGAATTTATCACTTTGAAATATTTTAGCAGAAGGAGGCTTTATAATAAGTGATAGGAACATGTAACATAGTGAATTTCTACCTCTGTGCATCAAAATCAACACTGTAGTGACCTCTTTAAAAAGGTTTAAAATTAAAACAACTCTGAATTTTCTTTGGGTTTAAAACAAGAAAAAACCCCATACTTCTGTCATTTGTTCTTGTAGTAACGCAAGGAAAAAGAGATCAATATAAATCATGTGTGATGCAAAATAACTGAATTTCAGCAAATCTGGCTTTTAGCCTGGCTTTGTATGACCATATTTGTCTAATACAAATAATTTGAAATTTAATATTGTACTGAAACTACATTCTTAATTGCATAGTTCTTTGTGTCTAAGGAAAAAAATATCTCAAATTAAAAAATAACAATAAAAAAGTCAGGCTCAATGTCATTAATTTAATATCCAAATGTAAGAGGCCTATGGATAGTAAACTGATATTTTAATGTACTAGGATATGTAAGGAAGCTCTTATCCTGGCCATCTGTACCTAAATTGGTTTTGGAATATTCAGTTTTATCTTTAGGAGCCTGGTCCATCAGCTGCCCTCAGCCAAGCACTGCTGACTGAACACTGTGTGTGCATGTGCAGGTGGGTACAACTCTGACCATTTAAATACAGCTCTAAAGGTTTTCTTACATCATCAGGGGAAGGAGTAGAAAAGAGATTTTTTCTGTGCCATTTAATGTTACTGCCATGGAACAATGTAGTTCAAATGTACTTCTGGCCATCCCTCATGGTGCTGGCTGGAGCTGAGAGAGGAGAAGTCCTCCTGTAGCAGCAGGAGTTCCACTCAGTGCTTAGTTGGAGACTTGGTTGTGGAGCCAGTGTAAAAAGGAGATGTGGTACAAGGTTCTCAGCTAGGTAACAGGAGGGAGAAGACAATCAGGTTGTTAAAATGAGTCTTTGATGTGCTGGCTGGTTTGTCCCCGTGCTCCAAAGAGGGAAAATTTAGGAAAAACAGATGGAAAGACTATTTTGAAAGCCACTGTGGTTTTAGCCAGGGCACTGTCAGGTAGGAGCCCTCCCTCCTGCATGCCCACTGTGTAGAAATTAGACCCCAGTAGGAATCTATTTGCAGTAGTTGAATTTTGATGAAGTTGCTTATGTTCAATTCCCTGTTCCATCAGCTCCTTCTCAAAGATATTTTATCTGTTGTTTCTCTGATGTTTTCATTGTTTAGGATTATTCACTAAAAATTTATGCTAATTTATATGATTTGAAAATTATAAAAATAAAACTTCAGGGTTCAAGTCTACTGTTCCAAGTTAGATTAATCTCTTATATCTATACATATATATATCTATCCTAAAATGAGCAAGAGTCACCTGTGCATTTTTTTCTTCCCTTTTCTTTTTTTTTATTTTTAAACAATTCTCTTGTTTCCAGCAGCATATAAATTCCTATAAATATTATAATTTTAACTTTTCTTGGAGGTTATTTTAAAAGTCTCCTGGATATACAAAACTTATGTAGTGGGACATTGAGCTGCTGCTGTAAAAGGTAAAGAACTGAAGAAACCACACCAGCCACAAGAGTGTTTTTGATGAATGATTCAAAAGAAATCATTGTGCTTATTATTCAAAACCCCAGTGATTAATTCTCAGATTCTTGGAGATAACACTGTTAGCAATTTTCTCCTTCTGGTGTGTCAAAATATCTGCCAATGGGTAACATAAACAGAATTACAAGAAATAACCCACTGTATGTTTTTTGGGTGTATTTGAGAGCACAGCTCCTGACCAGCTCAAAAATCTCTTGTTTTCCACTGTTTGTTTGGTTTTTTTCCAAATAAGTCTTCTCTTTTCTTCCGGCATTTGGTGCCGCTTTCATCAGCTACTCCAACACTCAGGTTACTCATCTGAGCTCTATTCTACCCATATCTATAGTAACTATTTAAACAGTAAATTAACACATATTATTGATGGATTACATGCCTTAGTAACAGTCCATGAGATCCTGTAATTCTTTTGTTGTACCTTACTTCTTCTTTCCCTTACTTTTTATTAATTGGATCAACTAAGATGATAAATTCTTCTGATTGTTATCAGGAAAGATAAATTGATCTGTGGAATTTGTTGCTTAATTAATCAGTGAAAAGTTTTTTTTTTTCCCCCCCTGAGAATTCTATGTTGGACAGTTTTGAATTTACAAAAACATAAGTATCATATTGTTCCTGGAAACAATCTTGAAGCCTTGCAAATTTCTTCTTCAACAAAAAGGCAAAGTTTGCACAAAATAAAAAAAACTTTTGACAAAGAGATATGAGTCCCAAAGTTAAATTGTAATATTTGGGAAGTGCATATTTTTAATATTCCAATTCTGCTGCGAAAGCAAGTGGTGAAATTGGAATTTAGAAACTGGTTTTTTCCACAGCATTCCTGGCTTCCCTTTTTCTTTATAGCTGATTCCAGTTGGTTTAGTATTTCACATCATGCATATTTCTAAATGAATTCTGAAGAAAGGCTTGGGAATTGTCAGATGATGGAAGATCAGTCTTGATCACATAAAATTACATTTTCCTCTTTAAGTAGGATAGCAAATAAAAATTCACCTTGCCTTTTGTTCAGTTAGACCTATGGCTAGGGAAAAATTCACCTAAAACAATTGGTCTTTAAAAATACATGATGAAATTGCTAAAAAGTCCATCTAGCAAACCCTACTGCTTTTTGTCAACAAATAGGCTGAGAGCTTTTTATGGCACACAAAGTCCTGTTTTTCTGTGGGATAACTTGGTGAGTTTCCCACAGTCACTAAGAGCCCATGAATGTTCAGTAGGTTCATCCATAAGCTTCCAGCAGAGATGGTTTTCAAAGGGTACTCAGAGTTATGTGAACATTCTTGGTCATTCTTTGACAGAAACAGTTCATGCTTATTTTGGGTCTCGTGACATATTGAGCACTAAATATATATAGAATCAAATCCTCTGGAATCCACATGTAAATATAACAGGGTTAATGTAAAGCACTAACTCTGGCCTTTCACATTTCAGCTGGGAAGATCCACTGATCAGTACATCTGATCCAAACCTTTTAAACTTTTTAAAGACACTTTCCTGAACATTCCAAGGCAACCTATTTTTGCACTGACATTCTTCCAAAGAAGTTACTTTAGTGTGTTTCATATCCTGGTGTTAATACTAGAAACATACTGTGTTTATTTATATATATGTGTATATATATATATATATATATAAAATAGTGATATCTATAAATACTATAAATAAGCTGTGATAATTTCTCCCACAAATGATGTTTCCATTAACTGTGAAAGAAATGTGTACTTTATGCTCTTTATACATCCTTGTGCTCTCGCACATCCATCACGGAAATCCAATTGCTGAGTGTTGAGCATCCTGAGAAGAATCTTTTCTCACTCTCCAGCTGCAGTATCTCCCCATCAGGCAGACAGCATCCTCCTCCTTTCCTTCTAACCTCTCAAATTACCCTGCTTCTCAGTGTATTTGGCTACTTACCTACAGGCTTTTCCCCAAGGGCAAGAGATCAGCTAATTACTATTAGCTTGACTAGGGTAACAAAACTGGTTATATTATTATCAGGTTGGGGGAAGTTTGTTTTCTGTTAAAAGTGTAAACCCTTCCTCTCCAGATTGCTCCAGCAGTTAGTCCTGATCCTTTATGGAATTTTAAACATTGCAAAATATAACTAAATCATTATATTAAATAATCTACTTATTTAAGCACCAATTATCACTCTTAAGGTGGAGCTTTGTGTGAGAGTTCAGTCTGGGTGAAAAAAGATCGAACAATGAAAAGCACATCATCTCTTACTGCAGCCAAATATTTGTAAACTGAAGTTGCTGAGAGCGTGGTAACAGTCATCTTGCAAACAGATGGGACAGTCCTGTGTTTGTGAACTTTTGCCCTGGGAAGAAAGAGGGTAAATGAAAGAGGAGAAAGTACAAGAAATGCTAATTATTAATAATTGCACAGTATTACCCTGCAATTATTGTTTTGCTCAGGCATATGCATATAATATTCATCTAAATAGTCTCAGAGCAATTCAGATACAACATGTAGGTGCAGTTTTGAAAATTGCCACTGGATGTTTGTATCATTTTTGGGTTGGTTCCTTTTTCTTAGTCACAGTACACAGTGTGACAGAGTGGTCACTAGACTATTAATGATCTCATAGATCAAATTGCATTCTATAAACAGAAATTTACACCCTGTACTTTCAACTGAATGGAAAAATAATTTAAAATTTGCCATAAAAAGTCTGCATTTTCTATATAGTAAACCCTACTTTGAAGTCTTATTAAATTCATAGGGTTTGTGAAGGTGTCTTGAAGTGGCCTAAAATTCAGATGAGAAGGTAATGTATTTAAGGGTAATTACTTTTCTGTGCAGTGATGTTAAGTGCTCATCTACTTGAACACATAAATTTGGTTACAGAATATTTTAAGTTTTCATGGTTTAGAATTCCTTGTGCCCCTTGGCTGCTACCAATGTAGGATGTTGGTCTTCATTGATAGAATTTTTTATATCCTGTTTCATAACTGGCAATATCCCACTGTTTCATTCACAGTGAAAATCACTAACACTTCCACATGTGGTTAGGAAGGAAACACTTTCTACAGAGGTTTGTACATGAAATCTATTGGTGGGTTTGTTCATTCCCTTATGTTCTCTGTAATATGCTTTATTAGTGCTAAAGGCAGGGATACTGCTGCATTCAAAGCCTCCTGCTTCCAGTACAATGCTGGTCAGGTCCAGGATGCAGCCCATGAAGAAGCTGGAAACAACCTTTCAATATCTCAAAGTAATCACCGAAAGTGCTATTTTAAAATAAGGCTTAACTAACTTGACTTTGGATACTGCTACCTCTTTCATAGTTCGGTTTGCAGTTTGATATCAGGTCCACTATACCACATAGTATTAATATTTTAGCTTTTGAAAGAGCTTTATGCCTAAAATGTTTTATGTTAGTGAAACTAGTTCCTTCATGGAACATCTGTTTTTTAGATCAGGAAAACACCTGTTTAGTGGGGAATATTTTGTATAAAAACTGTTGAGTCATAATCATTTAGGGGCTTCGATAATCAGTGACTCCTAGCTGTTTTCACTGCAGCCTGGTCACTGTGCCTGATGCCATGGAGAGGCCCCTCATGTTTTTATTTTCATTTACAAAGCCCTACATTTACATTGTGAAGATTTCCAACATTGCAGGTTGTAACAAGAATGAAATATGTTGAGTACAAACACGCTACTGTACTGTCTCAAACACACGCTGCTGTTGCAGCCCCACCATGGAGCATTCTGCTCATGTGGATACCCTCTTCAAGAACTTCATGATGATGTCTGGTCACTTGTTCAACAACAGTAAGTTTAAAGAAGTTTAATTTGTGTACCCATGCTCAGACTTTGTGCCTAAATGACTCAGGTAGGCCATTATGTCAGTTTTCAGCAGGAGAGGGCCAAGAGGATAGTAAAGGAGGTTTGGTAAAGAACACTTGTAAATCTTATTACTTCAACTCTAGAATTCATAAATTTCAGTAGCACAGAAGTTGTTAATTTAAGGGTGCTGCCAATAAAGGATTAATAACTTTTAAGCATTAGATTAATTATCAGTCCTAATTGCGAAGCTAAAAACTCTAATAGGCAGAAACAGAACATTTTCTAGTCAGCAGAACTTCTGAGAAAATTTTCAAGCTTGTTGCTCTAAAATAAATGAGCATTTTTAAAATGCAACAAAATGTTCTGAATTAAGGTCATAACATTGAAAAAGTAAGTTACTAGAAAAGTGGAAAAAAGAAAGCTACTTTCTTTGGCTTGGTTTCTTATAGCAGACAAAGCATTGATTACAAAGGGTCATTGACGTGATGGCAGAACATGAAAGAACTGCATTGAGGATTGGAGCTACTTTCAATAACACAGCTGGAATGACTTTAATAGAACTTTCAAAAAAGCTTTTAGAGATATTTGAAATTTGCATGTTCTCTTGAGTTAAGGTGTATTAAAAAATTGTGAAAATATATTCAGTGCTACTTAGCCTTATGGTCTATAGGTAGCATAATACAGAAATCTTTAATTTCCATGGGAATAATCTTACACTTATTTCATAGAGAGTTTCAGATGAAAGTTTGTTTTTTTTGGCTTTTCTTATATGTACATGTGGTTTAAAACATATTTTATGAAAATACAGTGTAAAAGCTGTTCATGTGAGCACTTGATTTTGGGAAAGAAAATAAAAACAAAGGTTGAGGTTGAAGATAGTGTTAAGATCTTGACAGTGGTTTCTTGAAAATTATTTTACCTTTTTGAATGTAGAAATATGAATGCTACAAAAAAATCATAATGGTTTTAGTGGGCTGGTACATATTGTTTAGGAGTAAATAACATAGGTTATCTTAGTATAATGCTGCACCAGTTGTGGCTGGCCATGACTGGGTTATTCAAGCTCTCACATTCATTTTAACCAATTAGTTTGGCTGCTTGTCAGGAAGTGACTTCAGTAAAGAAGCACAGCAATTCAATTATCAGGCACTCCTTTTCTTACCTTTCCAAGAAAATGCATATGAACTCAATGTAAAAAAACCCATTTATTTGCAGGTTCTTGTCTTTGATAACTCATTCTGTTACACTCAGCATGATTCATCCCAGATTATTTATCTGTCATGGAGGGTGGGAGGAGGAGAAGGAAAAATTCTAAAACCACCTAAAATATATCATTGCCTCGTAGGCAGTGATATTTCCAGGAGAAATAGCTCAGTTATTTGTTTGGAGAAAATTCCACCAGGCTCTGGGCCTTGGACCCTTTGTTCCTGATCACCTTGAGACAAGCAATTAGAAAATCTCCAGCTTGGGAACTGTATGGCCCCCAGGGGAGCTCCTGCTCCTTGTGAAAAACTGAATTTGGATTGCTGAAATTGTAATGTGCCCTCTGAGTATAATTGTTAATACATTTTAAGAAACTGAAATAATGGATTAATAATTATCTGAATTAATGGATTAATAAAGGATTGGAGAGCGTTCAGAGCATTTCACAGTCACCAGTCAAAGTTCATGCTCCCTTGCTCTCAGTGAGAAGGAAAAAAATAATACATGACTAAATTCACTACATTGCATGACAGGCAACAGAATTATCACTCCTAAGAGAAAACCTAGCTTTGGAGAAAACTTCAGATGCCTATGAGTAATTTTTTGACTCTCTTTTTCGCACATATAAATTCACAAAATATAACTCCATACTTTGGGTTGGAAAAGACCAGTGCAAATTCAGCTGTATTTTTATTACAAAGACAAGACAACTTGACTCTGCTTTGAGTGTTATGCATGGCTTCAACATGCAACTACCTGATGGAAGATCACCATATGTACTGTGGAATTTGGAAAGATCTTATTTTTTAATATCAACTTATAGTAGAGGGACCCTATAGTGCTTTTTGTGGCTAAGAATACATAATCTCTCCAATGTGCTTTTCATGTGTGCTCAGCAATGGACCAGCAAGATCTGTGAAGCGGCCATGCTGCAGGTAATGTGAAGAAAGCTGTAAGCTGAGCCTTCCTGAGAATTCCTGTGTCCACAGCTGGATGCTTGTCATTCTGGGGAAGAATACAGAGAAACGAGAATGGGCACCTAGCTGTAGCACAGAACAAATTCATCCAAAGGACTGTGTTGTATGAACAGACTCAAAATAATTAAGTACGAAAGGGAATATTTTCACTTCTTTAAAAATATGATTTGAAAGATGCTATGTCAGATATCTTTCCAACAGTTGGTGGTTTTGTGCACTAATTTAATGAAACAGGCAGAATACCAGCTTGTGGCCTTTAGGACTCTCTCTTGTAGCAGGCTAGGATTTGCCAACTTCTCTCCACTTCAGATACATTTGCCCTTTGTCCAGCACCGTGAGAGTGCAGGGATTTATTTAGGAACCTAAAAGAGGAAACAGAACCTCACAGAGGCTCAGGGCAACATTGGAAAGAAGCAGGAATGTCAGCCCATAGCTAGAGGATAATGTAATTGGTGATACTGAACATAAGGGTCCTGGGGAAGAGGTGAGCAGGCAGATTTCTGTTGGGTCCCAGCGAGCGTCCCGCTGGCTCAGCTGCCGGTGAGTATCAATTCCCTTGGAAGGGAGCCCTTGGAGACCTTCTGCCCAGGGGAGCTGCATGAATCAGCAATGTGCCACTGCTGCTCTGCGAGGGATGAGAGCTGCACCGAGCTCCTGGTAAGCAGCCTGAGCAGTTTTGTTACTGGGACAACAGGGGTAAACTTCAGCTGTGTGGAGACCTTTCCAGGGAGAATACTGGCACAGCCCAGCTGTGAGCAAAACTGGACTTGTGCAGCTTGTGCATCACAGACACGAACAAATCTTAGCGCTGTTGTGATCAGATGAAGAAAAATATTTGTAATCTAATTGGGTTGGGCTGGGGAAAAGAAAGTCTGGACAGGCCACAGTGCTTGAAACTGTCTGAAAAGAAAAAAAAATATTTTGCAAAAAATTATCTTGGCAAATTCTTCTCATTTCCAAGAGTAGACAGATGAGTGTTTTAGATATAAAGCATGACTCACAAATTGAATATAAACCTGGAATGTTTTAAGGATTTGAATGTACTGGCTGAAAGGACAAAGCCCAAAGCATCCCTTGGCTTTGAGTGACATCAGACAACATAAAAAACCCCTACAACTTTCTTATTTTGCCCCAAATATGAAAGCCATGTTCATGATTTTTTTTAAGAATCCAGGATTATTGTTCAAGGTAAGAAGATACAAAATAACATTAATGATATTAAGGCAGTGTGCTGTTATCACTTGAAGGATATTTAAACTGAGAGAGGGCAAGTTTAGATTGGATATTAGGAAGGAATCCTAATTTCTTCTGTGCCATGTGGGTGGTGAGGCACAGGAATAGGTTACCCAGAGCAGATCCATCCCTGTGGGCAGTGCAGGAGCCACTCTTCAGCGTGACTCAACACTGCTGGTCCAGGCTGCTCACACAGCTGTGAGGGGTGTTGGAAGGGAGTCCAGAGAGCAGCTCAGGCAGACTCTGAAGCTGAAGGAGGCAGCTGGAGTTTGTATTACAGCAGATCCCAGCGCTAGATCAAGCTGTGTTGTTTATGTGGGAGACTACGCTGCAAGGCAGAGATCTAAAAACTGGGGTCTGCACCAGTAATTGGTGATGGGAGTAGATTTAATCCACTGTGTTTGAAATGATGGTATGTGTGGACAACAGGAAAATGTTAGGGGTGAATAAACCCGAGGCATATTGGTCTAAATATGACCAAAGAGAAAGGAATATGATAAAAGACCAGAGAGAAAAGAGTATGATAAATGTTAGCATTTCAGAATTTTGCTTTTCATATTCTGTATTTTTAATGTATAATATATTTTGATTTTCTGTTCTGTATTTTATCATAGCCTTTTAAAAATAATTTTCCTTACAAAATCATTTTTTAATGAATCACTTCAACTTGCTCTAAAAGTAAGCAAATATTTCCTTCACTATTTCCCTAATATATGGAAACTACAATTCAGAAAATAACTTTAAAAAAAAAGTAGTTGATTCATTTTCTGAGAGTAGAGTTTAGTTACTGTATTTCATGGATGGAATGGAGTTTGATCTGTAAAATTTGTTTTATTGCCAATGTCTGTGCTTTTGTGCATTTGTAAAATACACAGTCACCTACACACAGATTTCGAGTGACAGCCTTCTTGAAGGCTTATAAGTTTTCTGTAGTACCTTTTTTAATTCTTTTTTTTTAAGCAACGCAGATACCTTCTCTTTCTGTGCCTAGAAAAATTGTATTTGTGACTCTTTGCTGAATGGTGGGCTATACCATATATATATATATATATATATACACACACACATATACCAGATATGGCAAGTGGACAAAACCAGTATTTTTTTACAACAAAATTATTAAACAAGGACCTAATACTAAAAGATGCTGATTTACAGATTCAAAATATGCCTTGGACTGCTGGAGAGCTCTGGTTTACTTCCCCATTTGCTACTGATGGGGACAACTGTGCTTGGACAGCTGCCAGAGTAGACATTCCAGAAAAAATAATTCATGGTTTAAAATATTTTCTTCCAACATAAATAAAGCAATTTAAGTAAAAGCTCCACAAACCTGTTTTTATTCTGGAGAGAAATAGTTGTTCACAACGGGAGTTCTGGAATAGCTAGTCTGGAATAGCTATTGTGGTAAACTGCCAGTGTATGAGCGGGGCACTTACTGGTGGGTACTGCAACAGATTGAATAAAACCCTCCAAAACATTAAAAATTGTATTTTTTGTTGAAAAGGGCATCTCAGAAAAGAGCCAAGATAGACTCAGAGGAGGCAAGATAGCTAAATATTTAAACAATAAAAAGTCAGAATATGTTTGGCCCTGCTCAAATTCACAGGAGAGGTGCAGGTCTGAAGGAGCTTTTCTCTTGCAGATGTTCCGATGTGGCTTACAGGAAAGAAGAGAATAATCCAGCGTCAGGCAGTGTCAGCTAAAAAAAGAATCCCTGAAGAAGTTTACTTCCAGGATGGCTGGGTGGTCAGAGATCTTCACTGAACTGACAGGTAAAAATGGCTCTTGTCATGACTGTTCATGTCTGGGAGCTCAGGTCCTGCCCACGGCTCTCTGAGCTCTGTCAGGGCAGATGCACCTCTCCAAGGCTGGGTAGGTCTGGAGCTCGCAGCTCCTGGGGAGTGCAGCCTTCAGAGGCTCTCAGACTCATCTGCAGATGAATTAACTTTGAGCCTCAAAGCAGAGTGCAATGATTTTAATGACACATAGTTGGAGAGGCTAAAATATTGTAATTTCCTATCACATGACCATGTTGAGTATTTACAGATGAGGAAGGGAGCTTGTAAAAATATAGTGACAAGTTCAAAGCAAATGGGGAGAAGTAAAATTTTTTTCTGAACTTTCTGTCATCACTAAAGCGAGAACATTTTGCTCTCACCATGCATTTGTTAGTGAGAAGATCTCCTCTATTTTTAAACACTTAGTTACACTTCACATGAGGAAAAGTCTGTTGTGCCTTTCTCTGCATTCAAAAGAACATACTAGATCATGTTTCATGTATCTTTAGTATGGCCTTTGAGCTGCATTGTTTGAAAAATGGAGTATGAAAATGGTTTTACAGAAATACCTGCCAGCCTCCTTTAAATTCAAACATCTCTTTTATGCAAGGAAGTGTAATTTTTGGACCTGTAATTATCAAGCCAGTGCATTATCTGCACTGGTCAAAATCACACTGGGTCTAGAAAAGGAGATGCGCTGCAGTACCCTGATGATGATGGCAATGAAGCAGCAGTGATAAAAACCCTCTGATCTTAGCAACCTATTTTTGCAGGTACCCCTCTGTTCTTTCCTATTGTGCCCTGAAGTCAGACATGCATATAGTGATTTCAGTGCATCACATCCTTCAGTTCATTGTGGGCCTGAAAACCTAACACAAAAGGCCAGGAAAAGGTAATAATTTCAGTGTTAGATTTCTGAGGGCACCATTAACATGATTTTTTTCATTGTGTCTTTTAATGGACTTCAGAGCCTATTTTCTCCCTTTGTGGTAACTCACATTCTCCAGTAGATGCCAATTATTTGTGACTTGAAGAAAATGTTGATTCTCTACCTGTACCTCACACCCATATCAAGAGATTTAAAACCTTATATTTTTCCTGCCTGTAGGTGATAATGCACTTTCAGAGGCTGTAAAAGAAATGTACAGGACTTGAACAAAGATAGCACAGAGCCCATATAAGAGAGTCAGAATGAGAACAGAGTCAGCTGGTCAAATGCAGAATAAATTGGAATCTGTGGTCTCCTTGTGGTTGTGAAGAAGCTGGTGAATGGAACATGCCAGAAAGGCGCTCCACGGGCAGACTGCATGCATGCTGCTGGTTTGTGAATATGGTAACAATGCTAGTTCAAGGACTAGGTGGAAGCAAGCAGGAAATTTTTAGGTTTTATTTATTTAATGGTGCCCACCCTCCTGTATTTAACCCAAACTCACACTAGTCCTCTACAACTTAATTACGGTTCAGAAGAAACCACTACTAGGCTAATCATTCTATAGATTTTTGCTTTCAGATGCAACCAAGGAAGACATTATTAAGAAAGAATGAATTTTCAACCTTTAAAAAACTCATGCTTACTTAAATACTATTAGGATGGTCTGGACATCTTATCCAAACTGCTTCCCTTAAGTCTATGGGAACTTTCCTATCTAGCCTAGGCAAAGGGGATGGTATTTAATTCTACAGTAAATACCTTTGACAGAAAGTATAAATTTAACAGAAATAAAAATGATTTCTTTGTCTTGGCACTCGTTGTTGGGAACTGGGCTGGATGGCTAAGGAATTCATCATGTAGAATCACTGTAGATAAGGCCAGATGATGTTATGTTGTGCATAAAAGAAGAGAAAATAAGGAAATACAAAAGAGATATGTGGAGTTTCTACCCCTTTCTGCTAAGCCTATGAGCTGTGCCCACTGGTGCTAATGAAGGGAGCCCCAGGCCTCCTGTTAATATTTAATCTCATCAGCATATCTGTGTCTGGAAAACCAGTGGGGAATGTCTGCAAATAGATGGATGTGCAATTTTTCTTTATTCTAAAGTACAATTATTTTGCCAGGACAGAACAGTGACTGTTTTTGGAATTCTTAAATCATAGACAGTCCACATCTGTATAAGCATAGTTTTTATTCACTTTCTCTTCAATTTGTTGTTTTTTTGGTTTTTTTTTCTAACACTGCTCTATAAGCTTTACATGCTAATGTTGTCTGGTCATAATCATAGAATGTTCTGAGCTGGAAGGGATCTGGTTTTCTGTTTGTAGTCACCACTGCATGCAGGAACTGATGGGGATTCCTGCTCCCATCACTTGTTTCAGCAGCACTGAAAGGCATAAACAAGGAGTGACTGAAGAGAAAGTCAAGCGATTCCACAGCTCAGCAAGGAGAGTCCAGCCAGAAACCAGGTCTGTGCATTTTTCCTTGCAGGAAGGAGCAATGCCAGTTATTCCCCAGTGCCAGAACAACTTTGCCTAGGAAATGAGTGAGGTGAAAACTCTCTGATGAAGCTGCACTTCCTTCATCCCTGTGCCATGAAACTCAGGGAGTGCTGGTGACTGCCCTTTTTGCGTTATATAATGAAAACGTAAGTATTGCTGTTGTTGTCTGCAACAAAAACGTTTATGAAGTTTTGCTATAGCACATTTCTATTTTTGCTTTCAATGTTGGTTTTTTTTCTGTGAAAGCTTCTTGATTGAACCTTCTTCTCTAATAATTTTTTACACATGAATTACAGATCATTCTAATTAGCTTTTTAATTACAGCTAGAGAAAGCTATTTAGAACACTCCTGACTGTTAGAAACGAGTCCATGTGGAGAAAAATAAGAGGTAATTAGCTTTAAATGAAAAATAGCTACTGTCATTTCCCAGACAAAGGAGAGGGAGACAATTTCTACGCTTCATAGCAAATACAGAATTGGATTGGAAAGGACTGTTCAGAGTCCATGCCTTGAAATCATCTGAAATTTAACTAGTTTTACACCAGGTATTTACTATGATGATTTTGAAGGCATTGGTATTCTAACTGTCTAAATTCTTAGCAAGTCCATTGCAACATCTGGATAAAGAGCATCCCAGCTGTGTTAAATGGAGATGCTTTTTGTAAGAGTTGGGGACACTGCACTGTGCTATAACCCATGGAATAGTAACAAATTTTAGGAATCTTCAAGTCATCTCAGACCAAGAGCTCTTGCTATGAATTTGGTTCTTCTTGCAGATTGTGAAGTACCTCTGGTGGCTAAATGCCTACAGGCTCTGGAAACAAACCCTGGAGTAGGGAAACCCTTACTGTAATCATCTGCCCAAACTCCAACAGAAGGAGCCGGTGCTTGAGGACAACTCCGGAGTCCATCTGGCATCACAGGATGGGAGTTCCTTGTGAGTAGCTCAAGTTGGGTATGGACACTGCTCTGTGGAATACATGGCAGCAGATCCCTCCAGGAAACCCAGCCAAATGCACTTTGGAGCTCTCTACTAAATGCACTAAATTTGGCTCCTATATAGGCTAACCTATTGGAGGTTAGCTAAGGAAAATGTGGTTATTTGTGTTCCTAGCTCTTCTCTACTGTTTCAGGTCTACATCCAGGGGAGAATAAGGGACCAAGTCATTATAATTTCTCTAAGTCTATAAATATGTGGTTTGAAAGATAGCAACACTCTGATTTGAAAACTTTTTATAGCATATTTAAAAGAAAAGGCACAAACCAGTTTATTCTACTTTTTGTCCCCTTTTGTCCCCTTTGCTCTAATTCCCTCACATCTAGAAATGTTTTTTTATCATCACGTTTATTGCATTAACTCCCTATATTAATAGGGAGTTAATAATATATAATAGGGAGTTTATAATATATATAAATATATTTTATATATAAATATAGTTTATAATATATAAAAATAACTGTTTCTGTTTAGTGCAATCTACTTTTTGTAGCATTTAAGTATTGTTGTTCCCCAATTCAGTATTTTGTTTTCTTAAATATTTGTATGTAAAGCTACTGGAGATACAGTGGGCTGCCACAATAGGGAACAGCTGCCTATGGACTTTACTGTGTCAGACACCACCACTTTACAGTGATCCCTGTCCAATGCATGGAGAACCATTGGAAGGAATTCCTCTGCTACAGGCAAACATTTGTCACTTTTCATTTGCAAATATCAAGGTGAGGAATTAAACAAATACATGAACGCTTGTTTTCAAGCCTGTTTTCTCCTTTGATAATTTGTGCATGGCTTATGATTATGTGTTTCCTGTACAACTTTGGAATTCCCTGCTAGGCTCTGCCCCAAACACTGGCCATGGGCCCACTGGCTCCAAACCAGTTCTCTGCATCAAAGGGTTTTCTCCTGGCTCCTTCACAAGGAAGAACTCAGTTTACATTTCCTGCATCCACTGATAAAACTTGGATTCACCAGGTAACACCAGGGACCCCAGCACCTCTGGACACTTCTTCCTTTGTGGCAATTTTTCATTTTGATACTGATTGTGAAATCTGAATTTCCAGGAAAGCCTGTTCATCTTAGGTCAGGAATTAACAAAAGTGTAAAAGTGAGTAAGCTCTTTTCAGAAAACAGGCTTTGATTTTTTTTGTATTTGTATTTTGTTAAATTCACATAAAATAATGCATTAAGCTTAAAAGGAATTATCAATAATCAAATTATATTTTCCCTTCATCAGAGTTTTCATTGAGAGTGGTGGATCTTGTTGAGGGGAAGAAAACTTTCAATAGACATTAAAAGTAGTAGTTGAAAATATCTTTAAAATTTACGGAGAGGTGTTAAAACTGAATTTAATTTTAAAAGAATCTTGTATGTCATTTGCTTCAAATGAAGATTGAACTCCATGTGGATGAACTGGAATTGTTCATTTAGGGAGTACGGTTTAAAAGATGTTAAAGAGCTGCAGCTGTAGGGTAATGATAGATATTGCAATTATACAGAGGGGTCTGTCACCTCTGCACTTGCAGTCAGACTCACTTTGGAATGGATTTTGTCTAGTTCAAAGTGAATTTTGTATTTTCTTTGTATTTTCTTCTCACACAGATGTTTAGAGTCAGATAAAAGCTAAAACTTTGGTTTATAACTTAGACTTCATTGGTGGCTGCCATGACAAACACTATTGGCACTCCAATTCTTCCGAAGGCAGTAATCTTTGTATCTTGCAGAGAGTGAAATGGGGGTCTGTGTCAATATTGATGGATATTGGCAAGTTTGTTTCAATTACTGTGAGGCTCCTTGTGCTATAAGAACATTTTCTCTTTTAAGACTATACAGAAGTGTAAGGATCACTGTTTAGTCTGAGGACGTTAGGATGCTGTGTTTCATTCTGCTGTTTAATTGCTCTTGGGCACCTATACTGCATCTGTAAATGTTACTATAGCTATCATTTGTGTTCCTTTTGTACTGCTGGGCATGAGTTACAATAAACTGTTGAAACGAGCAGCTTTTGAATTTGGGGGATTTGGTTTACTTCTTCTCTATGGTTAGTTGTATAACAGTATAGAATAATTGTTAAATGGAACAGATTTAACTCTGAACATACAGAGAAATCAGTAAGTGGGAGTATTAGTAGAGAACTGAAGGAATACATATAACTTAGTGTGAGCGGAGTCCATAACAATTTCCACTGCCTGACATTTGGTGCTAGGAACTGAAGATCAAAAACACCTACCTGGAATTACAGGCTCTTTCTTAGAAGTCATGAAGACAGGCAGGAGATTGTGCATTTTTTGGATGGATATTAGCACACTTTAAATAGGAATAACAGGCATGCAGTAGTATTAACACCCAATATTTAAGATCCCCTGGTGTGCTTAAATATTGCTTGGGTTTTTAATTTGAGCTCATAATAAGCTCATCATAAGCTTTGCTTATCTACCTCTACCTTGACTGATGGGATGAAGAAGACAGATACACTCAATTTAGTCTCTACTCTGCTGTTAGTTCCTGATGAACAGACATTTTGGCTTAATGTAAGTAAATATTAATAACTTTTAATAAAAAGGTGGATTCAGAAGACAAGAAATAGGAATGTGAAACTTTCAGGTAAATAATTTTATGTCATGTATTATCTGTAAAAACTTCCTCCAGAAACTGAGCACTCAAGTATTTAATATAAGTACTGAAAACCACTTAAAAATCAGAATAATTGTTACTAACACTATGTAATTGCTTTCTCTCTGGGTTAATATTTAACTAGCACAGAGTTTTAAGACATCTGTGAAAGCCAATTTAGATCAGCTTTGTTATATTACAGCACAAGAGATACAAATAAACGGAGTAATATTTTATTGATCAGAAACTTCTCTCAGCAATTAAAATGCATGATTCATATGAACAAGGTGAAAATGAACAACCAAAAAAATAACTTCACATTTTTTCCATTTTGTTCTTAGTGTAAGCAATAAATACAATGCCATAGCTTCTATTAATCTTATTTACATAGTACAATAAATGAATGTTACCTGGTTTCCAGCCCAAATGTTTCTTGACATCAATAAGGAGTACATGTTGCAGCATTTCTACAGCCAAATACTCTTTGTATTTCACCACCATGAAAAACTGCATAACATAAATGTCAACAGTAAACAACCAACTGAGGGACCCTGCAATGCAGCTATTTATTAATTGAAGACAGTAGCATTAGAAATAGACATTTTCTCTCATTCAATCATAACATGCTGGTGTTACAGATAACAAACATAAGACAACTATTGCTGTAGCCCCTGTAGATTGATACAATAAATTCTCAATTAAAAAAAAAATGTAACAGCAAATAATAACAGATAATAAACAAATAATAATGTGCATGTTCAAAGGAATCTCACAGCCCCACCAAAAGAGAGTTTACCTCCATCCCAGAGAACACAACTATGGACCACAACATTCTCTAAAGTAGAAAAGAGCCATGAGAAATCAGCATAAGGATTTGATTTTAAGTTACGGTGGCAAAAAAACATTTTAAGAAGCAGATCATTCTCAGCTGTGTAGAAACTGAAAAAAGGTGAGGTAGGAAGACAAAATAAGGAATTGGTATTTTCCAATGCAAATTATAAAACAGATTATCTATCCTCAGCAGGAGAGGGGAAATATAGCTCTGCTATACCATGTGACTCTTCAGAGCCAGAAAGATTTTCTTGCACATCCAGCTGGATGTGTTTCTTTTCAAAAGTGAAGATGGGGGTGTGTCTGCCTAGAAGGAAGCTGTGATTGTCCACCTAGAAGTAGGATAATTTCTGTATAAAAACAATTTTCCCTCCTAAATTACCATTAAGAGTTTCTCTAATAGAGGACAGAGAGCAATTAGAAGTATGTATTGAAGTATGACAAAATCCATAGTCTGTTAAATTTGAACTGCCTCCCAGAAAATGAAGCTTAATTAAAATCTAATACTGTATCGCACTCTAGACCAACATCTATGTGTTAATTGCAACAACAATCCACCAGGTACCATGAAATAATTGTCTAATAATATGCCATAAAGGGCTTACAGCATGTCAAAATGGACACCTGTCTGGGCTTTGAGTCTCAGTGGTACCTGCAGATTCTGCAAAGGGAACTCAAGACAGATTTATACCAGCTGATGATCTGGTCCCACAAATGGAAAGCTGCTACACTGGAGCAGGGATTTTCTGCACCACTGGTATCTTCAGAACATTGCACAGATTTTCAGTAACACTACAAAGATCAGCAAGCAGAGTTGTAACCTCTAGTCATGTTGTAGCAGACATTATTCTTTCACTCTTAAATTTAAGAGACTGTGACATCTGATTGCCAGATCTCAGAGTGTAGTGTAGTCCACACTACACAACCCAAGAGATTCTTCAGATCATTCCCATCCACTGACCAGACAGCCCTGCAGAAGAGAAGTCTTTATTTGTGCATCCTAGCTGGGATTCTATATTGTGAAACTAAATCATTAACAAAACTCTTTCTATATTCAAACTCCAGACATAAGAACTGTAAAGAAAGGTGCAAGTGGCATGAACTTGCCACATTCCTCCTAATGTTTCCTAAGTACAAAGCATTTAATGTCTTATGAACTCACAAAGTAATAAACACTGAAAATTACCTAGACACTAAAGAAGTGTAGAGAAAAGCTACTGACAAAAATGTTTGAATGTCAAAGTCAAGGTATTTTGTACACAATAATATTGTATGCAAAATTATTTCAAACTGGTCTCAGAAAGAACTTCTTCCAATTTTTTGACTGGACTACATACATGAGAAATATGTTCATTAGCCAAAGAGTCTGTCACAGTTCCAGCATCAACTTTTCTTCTGCCTGATTTTGTTTTTTCCCCTCTTGAAGTAGACTTATCTGCAAATGCAATGTATACAATTTTTTCTTACATTTTTAATTTTCAGTTAACTCACCTTGTTTCATGCCCTCATTCTTGAGCATTTTTGTCATTCCACTTAACAGAACTACTATTTCTTTAAAGCATAAAGATTTAACAAAAATATAAATTTCTATAAAGACACATTTTTCTCAAGACCTTCCTGACAACTTCATAGTTTTCAGTGAGACCTTTATGCACCAGCAGAACCAAAGAAACAACATATAAAGTACTTTTCTTAACCAATTAAATGAGACAGAGATTCAGAATCAACCAATCCAAAATAATGCTGAAATTCTCAATCCATGAAGCTTTGAACCTTTATAATACAAACTTAATACTGGATTTTCCAAATAATGACAATTACTAACATTAGTTTGCTTGATTAGTCTGAGTCTCATATACTGGCTTTAAAGGTAGCATATCATGTGCACTGTGTTCAGTCTTGCATGCTCATCTCAGACAACAAAAACAGCCACAAAATGAACCAAAACTTTGCCCCAAGAATGAAGGAATAAGTTATGAAGCATATGGCCAGGGAAAAAAGGTAAAAGTAAAATCAGAACAATGCTACAATAAATTCTGTACATGATCTTCTCCAGTTGAGTAAATTCCTTAAGCACACAGTGAAGTTCCACCAGCTGCAGTTATTACAAGTGTCTGGAGGGACTTACAGTGACTCAGGTTACTCCTTTGCTCTCTGACAGGGAGGCCTCATCAGTCTTGTCTTTGTTAAATCCAGAAGAAACTTCCATGCAACTCAGGAGAAGGAGACACTTCTGAATATCCTGAAATAGCTGAAATAAAATTGCTCAAATCTTGGTGCAAGATATTACACTGCAGTACAGAAGTCCATCAAGGCTCACACTGAAGTGGTGTCTCTGTGCTTGGTGTAAAACAGTGGGAAGAAAATGAACTGGCCAAACCAAAGTTAAAACATCAATCTCTTTAAACAAAACAGCAGTATCTGTCTTTGAATCTGTTACCACAGCTTACCTGTCAGGCTTTTTTGAAAGCCAAAAAAATGAATGCCAAAAAAAGAACTTGGAAAACTTCTTATTATTGCACCTATTTAAACCATTTTGCTTTGTTCTATTTCAGGTTGAATTAAGACAACAGAGTATGGTATTTACACTCTAAGATTCTAAGATATCTAAGATGCCTCTAAGATAGGCAAAGGAAGTGGCTTCAACACAGCACAGTCTTACACAAACTTCCAAGAAAATAAGAAATCCTTCATTGATTCCCTTTGTACAAATATTTGCCAACTTTGTCTACACAGTAGAAACTGAAGAGGCAAAGTTTGTATCCTTGTATAAATGCACATACATATATAGATATATATGTACAGAAGTCCATACTGTATAGATACACAGAAACACAAACATACATATACATATGTGTGTGTAGATACACAAACACACACATATATGTATGAGAAGCGTGTTGGTTTAGTTTGCATCATTCAGGAGAGAAACATATCCCAAGGCAGGTAAGATCTTCTGGCCATGAGGTCACTAAGCTGTGGATGCCGCAGGCACGGGGCCCAGGGCAGCTCCTCAGCCGTAGAGCTTCTCAGTCTTTAGTGCCACGCTGTCCATGTCGTGGTAGCCCTTGCCATTGAGGTGCTCGCTGGCGCAGTCGTGGCTGTAGCCGTAGCCTTGCACGTCGCTGATGGTGGACACGGTGTAGGAGGCCGTGCGCATGGCATCCGAGTGGCTGAAGCTGTGCTCAAACTGGATCTTGTACTGGTTCCAGTGCCTTCTCAGGACAGCCTGCACCTGCGCCCCAAGACAAAGCAAAATGTGTGTAAACCACTGGGGGACAGCTCAGGGGCTTCCTCCTCTGCTGTGTGAAGGACACGGAAATGGTGTCTCAGCAACAGCAATCCTGGACAAGGATGCCTACCCCTACGTGCCCTTTAGCACTTGAGACATTCAGAATTATTCACCACTTAGGTAAGCGCTATTTTTCAGCGAATTTGGTGTGAAGTAATGGCATTTTACAATTGCAGTGCGCTAGCAGCTCAGAAAAAGCACAGGTTACAGGAGGAACAGAAGCCACACAACTTTCTGCTTCCTCCCCTGTGAACTGCACTCC